CAAGTGCAACAAGGAAAAGTTACATCTTGCAACCACACGCTGTGTACTTAATAAAATTGTTAACTTTTATTTAAAGATTGCCTCAGCTCCGTCTATTCTGAGTCCAAAGTGCAATTTCTCACAATATTACAACTTACCTCACGTGGTGGCAGAAACGTAGGGAAAAGTAACCAAATAAATCTACATTCTTCTCTCCAGTCACGCTACAGTATATACAGTGTAATTATTACTAAGTTATTACTTTCTTAATAAAGGAGGAGGTGCAATTGAACAGCCTCCCTTCTAACTTGATGGTAAATTTGGTTCCTAATCGGCAACCTCCATTGCAAGTCGGCTAAGTCTTTTTAAAATTGGGAACTGGGGAAAAATCTCCTGAATACTGGTTCCTTTCAAATTGGTGGCAACAATAAATCATCCCCCAGCTCCCCTGCTTCTTTTCAAATTGGTGGCAGACGACGGGATACGATTAACAACTGATTGAGTGCCTTAAGACTACTTTGAGAATAATTTGTGAGGTAAAAGTTATTGAAATATGGCTACCAGATGACAGAAAAAACTTGTTGAGGAAACAATGGGAGACCAAGAAGGAAGTTTGGGCTCTGAAGCAGAAACAGAGCCAGTGTCTGTGTCAGAAATGGCACAGACTAGAGATGAAACGATTGGAAATAGAGGCAAAACAAAGGGAAAGAGAGTTTGAGGAAAGACAAAAAGAGAGAGAACAGGAGATAGAATTGAGGAGAATGGAAATTGAACTGCAAAAGCAAAAAATTAGCCCACCACCCCCCCTCACTTCCTCTGAGGATGCTTGCCATAGATGCAGGCGAAACGTCAGGAGAAATGCCTCTAGAACATGGCCCTATAGCTCGAAAAAACCTACAAGAACCTAGTATTTCCTAAATTTACTAAGGATGACGATATAGAGAAGTTTCTAACCTTGTTTGAGCGATGTTGTAAAGATTTTGGAGTTGCTGAGGAAAAATGGATGACGTACTTAAGGCCTCAAATAAGTGGAAAGCTCTTAGAAATATATGGAGAAATGCCTGAGGAGTCCTATGGGGATTATGATTTATTTAAGAGACAGGTTCAACAGAAATTTCAATTAACACCTGAATTTTACAGATTCAAGTTCAGGACTCTGAAAAGAGATAAGAACCAAAGTTTCGCTCAGGTGGCCTCTAGATTGTCTCAACTGTTCGATAGTTGGCTAAGGACGTCTGAGGTGGAAAATTACCAACAACTGAGAGAACTTTTAAAATTGGAACAATTTTTCCAATTGATACCTTCCGATTTTCGGTGGCTGGTACAGGATCGAAAGCCATCCACTGTAGTAGAGGCAGCGGTTATGGTAGATCAATTAATTACCCTAAAAGAAGGATTCAAAAGGGAAGATCTGCCAAATGATAAAAGGACAAACAGGCAGCCATTTTACCAACATCAAACGCGCCCACAACAAGGAAAAGGTCCTGCAATAGAAAACCCCTCCTGGAGGAGGCAGAGTGTAACAAGTCAAACTGCTCCTGAGGGAAAAATTAGGTGTTTTCAGTGTGGAAAGTGGGATCATATAAGGTATCAATGTCCCCTTTTAAGAAAAGAAAAGACAACCCTCTTCGTTAATAAAGTAAAAGAAACAAAGAAAACAGAACCAAATACTGTGTCAAAGGAGAGTTCGGAAACGGTGCCTCAAGAGAAACAATGTTTGTTCATTTTGTCAAACACCGCAACTGAGGATTACTTAGAATCCATTTCCATTGACAACAAAGACATGAGAGGGTGGCGGGACACAGGATCTGATGTGTGTATTATACATCCAGATATAATACCTCAGAAATTTCAGCATCCTACCTCTGAAATAAGATTAAAAGGCTTGGGACCTGCAATACCAACAGCAGTAGTGTCTTTGCCAATAGAATATGGAGGTTGGAAGGGTATGTGGGATTTTGCAGTCAGTCCAGACATACCATACAGGTGTTTAATTGGAAATGATCTGGCTAAAAAGATTGGAAAGTGGAGAATGATGTGTGAGGAGGAAGAATATAACAGCAAAAGCCCTGATCAAAAAGCCATGTGTTTCGCCATACAACAGGAGGGGGATGAGAATCCAGAATCCAGCACTATGGTTGCTGAGCTTATTAAGAAGACAGGAGGAGTCAGAGAAATTCAACAGGAACAAAGAGCAGATGAATTTCTAAAACCTTTGTTCGCTTTGGCTCAAAACCTCACAGTATCAGCAAAAGGGCAGCCCTCCAAGTTTGTGTTAAAGAATGGTGTCTTGTATAGAGAAACCAGAAACATGAAGTCAACAGAAGGATCAATGACATGTAATCAGATTGTAGTGCCTCAAAGTTTTAGAGAACAGCTGATGAGGGCGACACACGAGAACCCTCACGGTGGTCATCTGGGCGTGAGGAAAACCACAAAGAGGATCACTAAAAACTTTTATTGGCCTGGCATGTTCCAGAAGATCAAAGAGTTTTGCCAGTCTTGTGATATCTGCCAAAGATTGAGTACTGGAAGGGATAAAATTAAAGCTCCTATGATCCCTATGCCGGTAATTGCAGAACCATTTTACAGAGTGGGCATTGACATAGTTGGTCCTCTTTGTAAGCCAAGCAGACGTGGTTACAGATACATTCTAACCATGATTGACTACGCCACAAGATATCCAGAGGCTGTAGCTCTAACTAACATTGAGACAACAACGATTGCAAATGCACTGTTATCCATTTGGGGAAGAACTGGTTATCCTAGAGAATTGGTTTCTGATTTGGGAACTCAATTTACTTCCAGACTTATGTCAAAATTGCTTGAGTTATGTGGAATCAGACACCTGACTTCAACAGCTTATCACCCACAGACAAATGGACTAGTTGAAAATCTGAACAAGACTTTAGTCAAAATGATAAAGTCTTACAGTCAAAAGAAGCCATACGACTGGGACGTCAAAGTACAACAACTGTTATTCACCTACAGGACCGTCCCTCATGACAGTACTGGCTACAGTCCGCTTGAATTGCTATATGGAAGGAAAGCTCATGGTCCATTAGACCTGATAAAGGAATACTAGGAGGAAAATCCAGCAACAGATCCAGTTCCAGTGTCGGAGTACCTAAAGGATCTTCAATCAACAATGCAACTGGCTAGGGACATTGCACAAGAACATTTGCTTGCAGCTCAGCAAAGACAAAAAGACTATTATGATTCTACTGCTAAGCCAAAGATCTTCAACATCGGAGATGAAGTTTTGTTTTTATCTCCCAACAAAACCAACAAACTGCAATTAGATTGGTCGGGACCCTGGAAGATCACCAGGAAACACAATCAAATAAACTATGATATTTATGATGAACATTCAAATGTGG